AAAAGATAGCAAAAAAAATACAAGACATTCAAAGACAATACCAGACAAGGGTCTGGAAAGGTATTTTGCTTTGTATAAACTCTACAAGTATACATGCATTCCACCATAAACCGGTCATTGTGAGACCCCATTTTAGACCAAATCCCTACATTTTGTGGATCCCATTTAACACCAGATGCCTGAAAAAAACACCCCAAAGGGCGGCATATCCGCGTAAGGTACATTTAGAAATAATACCTTAAGACGTGGGGTCCGTTGTTTTTTAAAGGAATTTAACTGTGCCCACTGTTTGAACAGGAAATGCAATTTCACAATAGTCTGGTCGATGGGAGGCTTCTTTGCAATCCGAACACAGAATAACGAGTTAAACGAATGTATGTGTACCTTTTATTTACAATATTCAGAAAAAGGAATATAAACAGTGGATGTTCGACTGTCTCGCCATCATCAAGAATCGAGACCCGGTCGAGCAGTCATGTCTCGTCTACCACTTGCCTTATCCCTAGTGTATATTCTTGCAGTATATGTTCGCAGTGAAGTGTACGAACAACTGCCTCCCAATCTGCCATTGGATGACCCAAGTCCTGACGTACCCGATAATGACGATGTTTGCGAAGTGGATGGTGGAATCGAAAAGCGTAGTACATATATGAATCGATTTTTTGTGTCATTGCGTTTTAGATTGAGCCTTCCAATCACTAAAACAAAAGGATTTAAATCATCATCACCCCTCCAAAATATACGAAATCTGCGTATTATTTTCAATTGGTTTAACAAATAGAATTGTTCAGATATGTGTATACGCTAAAATGACATTTGGAAACATAGAGGGCATAAATCATCATCGGTACTTTTCACGCACTTTCCCTCAATCTAAATCGAATATCTACTGTATGAATCCGCCAGTATGAACACTGTCTACATAGAAAAGTTAATCTAGCCAGTCTGGGTAAAGCGTCGCTCAAACCTATGCCTTTGACTCTGTTGGAGTTATTGTGTGTATTTCACCTTTCTTTGGAATCGTCAAGTAGGGGGCGATGCAATACACTTGTTATGACGGACTATTTTATGATATGATATGATATGATATGATATGATATGATATGATATGAATTTATTCAGTACAATGGTCTCAGGCCTATGGTACAATAAATAAAAAATAAAAAAATACATAAGGAGGGAGTCCTTTAAATAATTATTGAATCTACTAGTCACAACTGGTTACGTAAATTGTCTCTATGTTTAGAAACAGTACAGATAAGTTGTCAAACTGCATTAAACGAAGAAATTAATCATATGTCTGATTTGACTGATAAAACCACGGACCATTTTATTAAGTATGCTATGGCGGTACCCACTGGCAACAATGATCAAATAGCATGGCAACAACACTAATGACGATACTGATGGATGTTATCGGTTTACTCGTGAAAATCAGATCAGGGATCAGGTTTTGAACATAAGCTGTTCAATTTGTTATTAAAAAAAGCATGCTAAATCACCCTTAGACCAAGGGCGTTACTGAGCGATTTAACCAAACACTTATAAACATGTCAGGGACATTGGACCCAGGTGAGAAATGTAACTGGGATCGGAAGATAGCAACATGTATAATAGTACCTAATACAACGTCACTGGATACACTCCATTCTATTAAATGCACGGGCAACACCCATATTACCCATAGACCGCTTTCTGGAGATAGGTCCAAGTGAAAAGAAAGATGAAAACATTACCCCGGTAAGTAGAATGAAACGTTCTCTCGCAGAAGCATATATATTTGTCGAGAAAAGACAGGGCGACAACGAGGAAGGATATGTATGATAAAAACACCAAAGACAGGGATTGTGTATTGGTTCGAACGTAAACCTATGAAAAAAAGTTGGGCGATAGATTGGAGCAGAGAGCCTATCTCGTTGTTAAAAAGCATTCGTGACCAGTGCATATCGTCCGACCCGTAGAGCTGAGCGTTACACACTGCGTCAAAACCTGCTCATTTCATGTATCGAATTACCCCCCCCCCCCTTTTGCTTATAGCATGCGCCGATTCACAGATGACAGATGTCTACAGCTAGCCCCAGGTGTTTCAGAGAGATGAAGTAGTTAAGTGTCAGATTCACCTCCAAGAGGAAGGAAACCTGACAATAAACAATTAGACACGTGATGTAACGCAGCCAGAGACTACTGAGCGTGAAAGTGCTAGAGAATATGTGGGCGACAGAGAGTATGGGAGTACGAATCATATGACAGATTCCAGTAGTACTAATCAACCTGTAC